GTCTTTGCTAGAGGCTGTCTCGAATTGTATACGATATTAGGACGCATTCTGCCCAAATGGACTGAGATGTTTCTCTTTTTAGTTTGTTTTCAAATTTACTCCCATCCCCAAACCATTCATTCTCTCCGCTTCTCCTGCTGCAAGCGGAAGGTGCTTCACTTCATTCCACTCAAATCAATAAATCTTCCACACTAACGTACACACCCTAAAATTATGAACCCCTCTATACCACAAAATCTAGACGAATACTCAGCATCCGCAACCACAATCAAATTCGACCGCCCAATCCCACTCCTTCGTGGCCCTATACCCGCCGGACCGCCCGACGACCCGTCAATCGGCCCACACGTCCTCGCTTTCAGAAACCCTCAATCCTGGGCTGTCGCATACAAAACCTGCGAGTCCAAAATAATCTCCCAGTGCGAGGAAGGAGCCAGGTTTGGGTGCGCGATAACCGCGTCAAAAAACTGTAAGCCTCCCTGGTGGCGCGGTTTTATTGGGGGAGCGAGATTGGAAGACTTGAAGGAGAGGGAGAGGTGTGAGGATCGCGAACTGGAAGGTTGTTTAGTTGCGGCTAAAGACAAGTGCGTTGGGTTTGCCAAGGAGAAATGCTGGAAGCCTTTTAGGGACGCGAGAATTGCGGTGAGGGAAGACGAGGTTGTTAGGAATTTAGTTAGTTTGGTTTCGGTGCCGCAGCGAAGTAGTAAGTGGATTAGTTTAATTGGGTTTGGAAAATTTAATTTTGGGGCTACCAATTTCAGGGCAAGTGAATTTTTGGGCTCTAATAAAAATCATGCATGGTTTTTTAAGTTGATGTAGTGGAATAAAAGAAGAGGAGGGGGGATCTGGGGTTCTGGGAATTGCATGGTTCATGTTGTTTAACTGTGGCCAGCTTTTTAAGTTGGAGATTCTGCGGTTTGGATTGGGCACTTAGAGGTATATTTCGTAGAACTTTGCCTCTCATTTTGGATAAAGTTGGATGCTTGGTGTATGTCCTTGGCTTGTTCAATTGAATGAGACTTGTATGCACCTGCTATTGTTAGGATTTCCTTACTGCCCTCTATCGAGCTGTGAAAAATGGGGTAAGATGTTGATATTGATAAGCACATGAAGTTTGCGCACGTTGTTTTACTTGTCATGGCCATTGATCAGCATTATAGCTTAGTTGTACGAGGATTAACTTCAAATCCACCTATTGTTTCGTGTTGCGTCATATAATCTGTTTCTTGGATTGATTTACCTGCTGTTATGTTTGGTTATATTGCTGCCAACATTAATAAGAAATATAAAGGCACCATAATTTCTGCGGTGGTGAGGTTTCATATTTAGGGGAATATACAATGATAAATATAGTAGAATATACAAGCTCTTGTAAACTAGCTATAAAAACAATCACCTAATAACTCTCCTAAAATATTTTCTACAATCAAAAGGATCACGTAATACGCTGCTTTCCTTATCAAACACGACCACCATCACTGCTCCATTTTCGCTTGCTGCTGTTGATGGAAATCTGATGATAATCACTGTGGCTGACGAGTCTGCAAACGTGTCTGGGTTTTCAAGGTTCAAATATTCGGGCAATTGTTGGGAAGGGCTGAAGCAGATGCCTTCTTATTGTACTTATTTCCTGTTAAAGCATGGAATCTGGAGACCGTCCAAGTTTGGAGCTGGCTCAAAAACTTGCTCGATACCACTTCATGAATCATGTACGCAAACCATTTGCTTCAACACCTGATGTCAAGGTTGCAAGGTCAGTTGTTCCGTAAATTTCAGGTTTCCTTGTAAAAGTTTTATGAAATTATGTGGGAAACTGCTACTTGAATTGAGGACCCGACTGGAAAAGGAGACAGAGAGAGAGAGAGAGAGAGAGAGCAGAGTTTCACATTATATGTTGGCGAGTCCGCGAGCGGGCTGTATGGGAAGCGGCTAAGCACGATATCTTGCTCTAGTTGTTGGGCCTTTTTAGCATTTAAATTGGGCTTGAACTGTAGCCCATAATAATCGAACTTTTATTTGCTCATTGTTTCCAATCCCCACCATTCTCCATCACATGCTTTCAATTCAATTGATGGAGATTTGTGTGTTTGGATGGGAGGTAGTTTTAGCTTCTTTTTTTTTGGATAAAAAGCATGTAATTTTAGCTTTTAAAAGTGTGGTTTATGCTTAAAATATATTTTACCTTTAAAAAAAAGGTAATGATGGCTTCTGCCGCTCGCAAAGAGTCCCAATTGTGACTTTCATTTATGGACTATATATAGATATGACAAAGCCTGCAAACAAATATGGACAAGTAGCTTGGCAAAAACAACAATAATTTTATACCTGACCGTTTAACATTTACTAGGTATGTTTTACAAGTTTAGTTCTAAAACGGGTCAGCTAGTTGTCAGGAGATGCAGTTTACATTATTTTTCTAGCCATTATTTAATTTTAATTATTATATAAAGAATAACTGCTATGATTATTTTTCTATATTTCTTTTTATATATAAGAGCTATAATTTTAAAGCTCTAGAGGTTAGATTTATTTCCATGCATTTTAAAAATTCTAAAAACCTTAACGCTGCACGGGGTGTCATCCTCACCTCTTTTATAACTATAATTTTAAAAATTCTAAAAACCTTAACGCTACACGGGGTGTCATCCTCACCTCTTTTATAAAACCCTAGTTAAAGTGTGGGGTATTTTTATTTTATTTACTGGAAACGTAAAATATATTAAATAAATTTTCAATATATGTTACGTTTTTTTTTTTACATTTTTATATATTAAATAAATTTTTAGTTTTTTTAATGAACATAGAAATAATTCTTCAACTTAAAAATATTATCTTAACTCTCCAATAATCCTCTTCCATTAAATATATAAAAATAAAAATAAAAATAAAGGATGAAAAGTATAAATTTTTTTATCCTTTTCTTTTAACTCTTTTTCCCCTCGAGATGCCCTGACCGGTGCAAAAATGTGAGTCACTATTTTCGAGTCAAGGACAATAGTAATTTATATTGCCTTGGAATTCACCAAGACAGGTGGCCTGAGAGTCCTGGACCAACTAGTCCCACCAATCAGCTGGTCCAGGATTTTCCAACAATCTCAAATTCCATGCAAACGTCACTCCGATTTGAATTCTTGTGTCTCCCGAATGATTTTACTAACCCCGTGAATTTTCGGCAGTAAAAAAAATAAAACCTTATGAGGTTTCGGATATTCTCGTCACTCTATTGAAGATTTTTTTATTGATATATAATGCTATAGTCCATCTTTAAATTCAGGATTCATAACATATACATAAAACTATGGCTAAACTAGCTACCATATCTCTTTATATAAATATATAGTATTGTAATATAAAATATTTTTTAATTAAAAATATATCAAAATAATTTATTTTTTTACATTAACATTTTAAAAACATCAATTTTTCATATAAAAATAATTTAAAAAATAAATTATAACACGTAAATAAACACTCGGATATAAAACATGCAACAACCAATTTCACTTGAGTTAAATTGTTAATTGATTTGGAGATATCAAGGCAGAAGGGCCATTGCATTATCTCATTTTACTGGAGTTTTTTTAAAGCTTGTTGGCAGATATTTTCATGACATGATTGTATAATATCATTTTCAAGTTTCCAAGAAAAGTGGACATGTAAGAGATCACTAGCCTGATCCAGTTTATCATGATGATTAGTTGAGGTCTGCATTTCATAAAAGAAGAAGAAGATGATGAAGAAAGTACGAATCGACAGAGATAAACCAATTACTCATTTCAATCAGGTTCAAATGGATTTTGACCAAGCTCAGCTTTCTCGTGTAAACACGCAACTATCTCTGCTTGCAGAAATGGCTAGGTATTTGTCAAGCGCTTGATAAATTAAATTATTTTGGATATCATATATCAAAGGACATGATCAATTCTATAAAAACATCAAGCAAACATTTTTATATAAGAGCGTATTTTCTTGCAAGGAGCGCACATGGTTAGCTAATGGCTAAATTTTGATATACCACTAACCCATTGATTTCCAGTCAACTACTCAACGCATTAGAAGAAGCTTAGCGTAACAGAGACAAGATTCAGCATGAATATACTAATAAAACACACTGTTGTAATGACATAATGGATAGTGATAGTTCGTTAGACAATGTTAAGTTCGACAACAATGGAGAAATTAGCAACATTGACATATATGAGTAGTTGACATATAATTTGAACTTCGATAATAAACAGTCCAAAACAAGCAACAAGCACAACAAATTTGACATCATAAACAAAAAGTTATGTAGTAGTGTTAGTGAGTTGCTATGCTTTATTGGGGGATGAATGTCCAGATCATAGGAGTATGGCTGCTGAACATGGAAGCATGACTGTGATTGCTCCTCAAAACACTAAGATCATATGATCATGGGTGAAAACCACCCACTAAGTTCATTAGAACATGTAGGACAAAATACCCTGCTACTTTATAAAATATCATGATGATAGTTATATGTTTTTTAACATTTCATATGCTTATCTATAAATAGGTTAAAGAGCCTTGAATGTGTAAAAAGGATGCTAGTTTAGTGTATAGAATGCAAGTTTTGTACATATCATACATATATAGATTTATGTATTTTCTTTGCTATTGAAACTAATAAAGGTTGAAATTAATTCTTATAATAATTTGTGTGTTTATATATATTGCATCTTTTGTACTTGTGTATTTCGTTTGTCTCGCAACAAGAGTGTGGAGAAATCTTTTGGTGAGGAAGAACACTTAGTTGCTAGGAAAACACAAATGGATTGATAAAAAAAATGATGAGTCTAGTAGGACCTGGAAAATTTTGACGAGAAATTTATCCCTGTAAGAATTGATACCAAAGTGCGGTTGCATTCTTGGCAGGAAACTTAGACTTTTTTGTTGACAAATTGAAGGACTGATTTGGGAGAGCCATTGCTGGATAGTTTATGAAACTGGTGGCTAAGCTTTATATGCACAAAGCTAGAGGTAATTCAGGAAATATTGACACATGTTGAGGGTTTGATGGGTAATATTCCTTAAGGTAAAGATCATTCATTTCTTGACAAGTTAGAATTGACAATGGATATCACTGAAAAGGCTGCTGGATAATATGTCAAACTCACAGCAGAAACAAGTGGCAAGTGGTAAGTTATCAAAGAAAAGTTGTCTATCTCGAGAAAGGCAGTTGTAAACGCAACTGCGGGTGTTGGATCTTCCAAGCCAAAGGTTGAAGAACCAAAACCATCTGCTAGTATAAGGATTTATAAATATATGAAGACTTTTTATAAGACATGATAAATTATTTTAGTGTGGCCAAGATCTATGTGAATGATCAAGTGGACATTGTGGTGATGTATTTAACGAGAGATACAAAATTATAGTGGAAAACAAAGTCCAAAGAGGACTTGAACACTAGAAGACCTAAAATGAAGATATGAGAAGGTCTATAACAAGAGTTAAAGGAACAACTTCTACCCAACAACACGTCTTGGATTGCAAGGGATGACTTGAAAAAGTTGAGGTATGATGGATTGGTGAGGGATTACATAAAAAGATTTAGTTATTTGATTTTGGATATTGACAACATGTCTGATAAGGATAAATTGTTCAACTTTTTATTTAGATTTCAGCCATAAACACAGTTGAAGTTAAGGAGGCAGAAGATTTGTGACTTGTCTTCAACCATTACTGTTGCCTATGGATTAGCAAACTTTAGAGCAGAATCAACAAAGAGATTGTTGGAGCTTCTAGGTTTTTGTTAAAGCCTACGGGGAAAGATGATATGAAAAGAAGAAGAAATTTGGTAGGGAAAAGCCTAAACATGTTTATGATGATGGACAAAACCAAAATGTGTGTTTAGTGGTTGAGATGGAATTTAGTTGTGTTGTGACTAGCTTGGAGGAGGTGGATAGAGCTGGGTAAGACTACTTTGTGTGAGACAGATTTAGAGATTGTCTTATGTACCTTGTCGATGGAAGATTAGGGTGATGGAAGCAAGACAACAATGGC